TTTAATCCACTTTTTCTTCCTTCTCCTTCTCTTCTTCCTCTACTATGTAAGCTTCTCCGTGTTTTCTAATAAAAGTCTCTACGTTAGGACTGATAGCAATAGTACACACAACCACTCTATATATTTCCAAATAGTGAGCAATGGAGTCATTCTGGTGAGAGAAGGATTGCTCTCTGAGTGACCTATTGCCACAGAGCTAGTTAAATCATGGAACAATAGTTACTGTTATGGGGCTTTACTTTGTACAAAGTAGCATTAGTATCATTGCTTTCCATTAACCATGGAACTTGCACTGGGGACAGTGGGGGGGTGGGCTCCAAAAAAGGAGTAACTTTTGTTATATTAACATTTAGAGTTGGAGACATTTAACAATGTAATTGACCTCAACCTACTGGTATATACTGTACTTTTTTCTAAAATGTTTTTCAAGAGCCCCTATTAAGAATCAGTACATCCCTACTCTGCCATTCACACACAAATACACACGAAAAGACAATCAGAAAGTAATAATAAAAACACACCTAATAAACAACTAACTTTTAATTCAAAGGATTCTAAGCAACACAGGGCCTAGAATGAACATCCCAATTAGCCAGTGTAGTGACAAGCAGTCAACACCTTATTATTTAATCATTAAAGAGAATCTTGCCATAATTTCCCTTTGACATATTTCAAAAAAGAAATTAAGAGTGCACCACATGACCCACAACAACAATCAAAAGGAAAGGTAGATAATTCTAAAACCCCATTGCTTGCAAGGCCTGTGGACTGAGAGGTTCCAGGATTAAGGCATTAAGTGGGACCCTATGAAGTATTTACAATTTAAATAAGATGTATCCATGTGTAAGCATTTAGAAGCAAACTACCTAACAATGGAACCATTTTCCTGTTTCCTGATGTTTGTGTCCAGCTTTCTTATTGGATGAAAATAAATTGCCTGCATTTCTAGTATTAGCAAATATTCAATGGCCTTATCCATTCTCTCCCCTACCCCCCAAACAGCAGATCCAGTTCATCAAGGGCATCAGGCTGTCCCTTGCCCTTCCAACCCCATCCCTGACCATAAACACCTCTCCAAAAGACAAAGCTTAAGTCTCCTTTAGATGCATCTTCGTCCCATTTTGTAGGGAGAGAGTTTTTTCAGTTACGTACAAGTTCAGTTTTAAGAACCTTTACTTTAAACTATGCGTGGGAAGCAACATTTCGTACTTTTAATGTAAAACAACCGCCACCAGGGTTCCCTGGCACACTTGGGAAGCAAAGTTCACTGGCCCAGGCTGCCCTGGATATCTAAGGCCTGGAAGGCTGGCCTCTCCAGCCTGGGCCTCACCGCTCCAGCAGCCGCCCCCATCCCCTGGGAGCTCACCAGCAGTTGGCATTTAACCTGCCTGGCGAGCGTGGCTTTCTGGTTCCATCTCTGAGAGCCACATTTTCCCTAGATGTCAGGGACAAATCTGGATTAACATGCAACAGGGCGCTCAGTGCAGCCCGGCAGCCCTCGCCCAAGAGCTGTTAAATGCAGATTCAGCCGAGGATCCCTCGAGAGCTGCTGCTGAATAAAAACTGTACTCTAAAGGGACCATTTCTTTGCTTGTGGGAGAACCCGGACTGGCTCCCAAGCACAGGCCCAGCTAGTCCCGGTCGCTAGAAGCCGGCGTGGCCACCGGGGAGGTGGCCTTAGGGGCCCGAAGACCTTTCTCTCTCCCGCCCCCACCCCCGCCCCTTCTTGGAGTGGAAAATGCTTAGATTCAGAGAGGGGGAGCAATAGACAGCCCTGGGAAGACTTCATTCGACGGCTCCTTCTTAGAGTGCACCCTGGCGTCTGTCCGATGGACGGCCAGGCTCTTCCCCGCCTAACCCCTCTGGGTGGCCCCAAGTCCACTCTGCATCGCCAAACACGCGCCCCTCCTCCCCTCAGACCTCCGTCTTTCTCCACCCCCAACCAGGCTCAACCTTCGCTTCGACGCCTGGCACCCAGGTCACCTTCTACACCCACTCCCCGGTCGCAGCCCGGTTCTCATCCTACACCGAGGCCAGGAAACCCTCAGGACCCTAGTCCTCGGGCATCGGGAGCGTCTGTGCCCAGGCCGCGAACGTGACCGTCGGGAGAGGGCGCCCGGGAGGGTCTGGGAGCGGAAATGAGGGGGGGAAGACAAACTGGGGGGTGGGATCACAATTTCTACAGGCGTCTTAATCTGATAAAAAATAAATAAAAAATTTAAAACCAACAACACTACAAGGCCAAGTGGATTTCCACAGATTTAGCCTTCTGGGAAACCAGCTGATATCAAAGTCGTCGATCCCAGGTCCCTGCGCGAGTGGCAGCCTTCACGCCCTCCAAGGAAAAAAGTAAAATAAAATAAACCATGCTGCCAGCAGACCCTAGAGACAGAGGGGTTAATGAGCTAACGAGGCCCAGCGCTCGCACCACACCTGAAGCATCTAGTCCCGGAGCGCACCCTCCGCCGGGACTCAAACAGGCTGGGCCGCATTCGCAGACAGGTGGCGAGGCGGTCCTTTCTGGGCCTCGCCCCAAGGGCGCCGCATTAGGGATCCAGCGCCCCCAGGGACCAGCGATCCAGCTCCTGTCGGGAAAACTGGCGCCCACCTGGCGGTCCTAGTGCCTGGTCATTGCTCGCCATCTCTCAGAGCAGGGGACACACTCCTCCTGCGCCCCGCGCCCTGCGCTCCCCGCTTCAAAGGGAGCTCAGGCACACTCGCTCCTGGCTCCCAGGAAGAGGTCAATTAGAAAGAACAAACTGGGGTTTGCTGCCCTCGGACCTACTGAGACCGAGGTGAGCAGGAGGGGTCTCGCGAGCGCGCCCACGCGCACAGGCCAACAGCGCCACCAGCTCAGCCACAGCTGTGAAGCCCCCATATGTGGCGGGGGTGGGAGGCACGCTTCTTATTTTATAGGTGGGAGAGGAGAATAAAATGTGTATTTTTCCACCCAATAGAAGTGCCTACCAATCTGCATATCTCAAGTTAAGGTAATTGGGCAACAAAAGTTTACCGAAGGAGTAGGGGTAAGAACTTAATGATGGCATATCAATTTTGTAGCCCCCCAAAATACCCCATAACTTCGGCCCTTTGTCTTTGACTTTAATAAAATAATGCTTCGTTGAGAAAATGGGGTATAAATCTTCATTTTGGAGGCAATTAAAGTGTTGATTTCATTCATGCCCCTAAGCGATTCTTGTAATTTGCTCAAATAGCTTTATGTACCCAGCACTACGAAGCTTTTAGAATCCCATTTTCTAGTTAGGCTTGTTGGATTACAATTTTTATTCAACAGCAGCTACCCGAGAGTTCCTCAGCGGAATCTGCATTTAACAGCTCGGGGCCAGGGCTGGTGGGCAGAGGCGGGCGGGAGGCCGGCAGCCGGCGGCCGGCTCGGGAACAGGCCCGGCCGGCAGCCGCCTGCCGGTTTCCCACCTCGGCAGGGCCGCGCCAGGGCTGCGCGGGCGGCCTATTCGGGGCACTCGTCTACACTGCCCAAAGTTTGCAACTTGCCTCACACTCGTGAGGAGCCGGCGCGTTGGCGCTCTTACTCGGCTCTGCCTGCCCTTCACTCCTCCTGGGGAAAGGAGGATTCAGCCTCTGTCGCGGGAGTCCCCCAGAGAAACCAAAGCTGGGAATTCATTGTAAGGGTGTGACGCTGAGAGAAGAAAACTTGAAGTTGACACCAAGGCCGAGGAGTAGGGCGCTCGGGAAAGGACTCCGCAACATAGCGGCTGGTCAACAGTGATCATGGCAGGGCTTGCAAGGGGAGCCGCAGGACTGGCGGTCCGGGGGCTTAACAAAGGCAGGCTGATCGCTCCCCTAAGACGGGACTCACGTGCCAAGTCAGAAAGAGAAACAACTCTGGGCCTTCGCTCATATAGGCAGAGACGGAGGAGGCCCACAACTCAAATCTCCAGACGCGTTGCAACAATTCGCAACGGAGAGCTGTCGTGAGCCCTGTTTTATCCCACCCACTCCTCACGTTTTCACTTTCATGCTATTTTTGCAACTCCTTTGGACCAATCCAGACACACAGCGACTGGACAAGAGAGAGACACTGGGAGCAAACAGTGGTGTTGGGGTGAGAGAGGGAGAATCCCCCTCACACCCCAAATAAAAGTCGTCCCCACTTAGCAACGCAGCCAAAGAAGGGCGTGGAGGACAGGAGAGGAGGGGGCGAAGCAAGCTAAAGCCGGCAGTTGAGAGTCAAGGTGGCGTGAGGTCCCCCCACCCGCCACACCGAGGGAGTCGTCAAAGTGCCCTGATGCTGACACTTCCAAAAGCTGCCAACTCAGAGGGCCCAGAGCACGTACCAGCTGGAGGATGAGTAGAAAGGAGGAGGAGAAAAGTCCATATTTATCAGTTTTTATGCCCGCGGCCTGGTCTTATTTTGTCTATGAAGTACAATGAAATGGGCGAGCTCTCAGTGAGCACTGCACAAAGCAATGTTCAGTGAGGTCTAGAAGCGGTCGGCCGAGGAAAACTGACAAGACAGGCTAATGAACCGTATAGACAGGGAGAAAACAGCCAGCATTTGGTAGATTTCAAACCCTGGCTGTCTTTCTTAGACCACCTATCTTGGGTTTATTCCTAATAAAATAAGAAATAAGCAGACCCTACTCTTTTCTTTTCTTCAAGATAGAAGGGAGGGGAGGGGGATGCTCCAGAACAAAGCCCCACAATCAGAGACGGTCACTGGCAGTTAACACTCCCATTATTATAGAGGGTAAATAAAATAAAGACAAAAATTAAAAGCGACAAGAAACAGGTCAAGTTTGCAGGCAAAGCTTTTACAAGCTCATCTCTCCAGGTCGAATCCCAGAGCCAGCCTTAATGAAGCAATAATAGCCACATTATTCAAAAATTTTCATTTCGATGGAAATGTATCTAAAAGGGACTTAATCATATGCAAATAATAAAAGGAAGTGGTAGTGACCCAGCAAGCAATATGCATACAGATTTTTTTTTCAGGGATGTTGAAATTGAAAAGCACATACCTGGTCGGTTAGATTTGCTGATCTTGTTATATCTTCACTGTCTGATTTTGATCCTCCTTCTCTATCGTCTATCACCAAATCGATAGGCATTTTCCCTTTCAAACAGCTAATATACCGGTGGCAGAAATTGTCACATAATTCGTGTACCTACATTATGACAGAAATAAAAAAATGGAAATATAATCAGGAGTGCATAAATGACATTGACAAGTGCAATCCACCCCCCTTGTGAGATCCAAACTTCCAAATAGGGGAAACACAGGGCAATTGTCCTCCAGAGATCCCCAGACGCATCCAGAATTAGGAATAACTTTCTTTTCTTGCAAAATAGAGATATCCCAGAAAATTGACAGTGACAAGATGATTCACAGGCTACAACATATTCAACACCCGTGTTAAATTCATCTGTTTCCAGGGCTGTGGCCATTAGAGAGGTGACCTGCGTGGGTGACATTTAAGGTAAACTATTTAATTTCATCCAGTTACTTTAGCATAGGTCTTTTTCCAATATGTCTAAGGAAAATGCATATATATATATGTATATAAAATTTGATATACATTATATACATATTCAAAAGACCAGTACTGTGATGGCATAGGATATATGCCTGACAACGCAAGTCCCCATAATATGTGTAATTAGGGTTTCTAACCATAAGAAGCATATTTTAGGATACTTCCTTTAAAAAAATAAAAGGAAATCAAATGGCCAATAATCAATATATGAAAAAAAACCTACAGCCACAAAAATGTATCAAATTGATTTTTTAAATAAAAAGGAAAAAGATTGCTTCCAAATATTTAGGTGTAAGTGGAGTGGTCTCTTACAGGCCCCAGTCATCACTGACAAGCAAAAATTCACTAGAAACCCCAGTGTGTTTGCAATTTGATGTTAGTTTGAATTACAATGCATTAAGTTTTTATTGCTGAGATTTATAGAACAGCTAGCAAAATTGTGTTATCCCACACCCTTTCTTGAGTGGAAGGTGAGATGTGTGCAGGATTTGCGGATTCAAGAAATTGACACAACTATCAACTCTGCTTTGTCTCTGCAAAACATTTAATGTGTCTCTCCCACCACCTCCTCCAGACTCCCTGTCCGCTGCTCCTCCTCCCCCCACCCTCGGCTTCTCCTCTGTGTCTGACCTGCCTCTGCTCTCAGACTGTTCCACAAACTCACTAAAACTAAACAAAACTTCCCCCCTCTCAAAGGTAGCACAGAAGAAGAGGAAGAGAAGAGACCACAAAGGTATATAACCTGTGAAGCAACTCACAAAAGCATTCTAAACATCAAGGGGGATGCACAGAATTGCAACTATTTATACAAAGCCAGCAAGGTATTAAGAATGAATACAAGGCTAGGGCGTTTGTGATCCTGGTTTTAGTGGCTGAAATTGTAATTAAACTGCAAAGAGAAATGGACGCTAAGATTGGCCTTGACACTAATTACCAGAAAGAAAGACATTTATGCAAATGTTTCAGAAGCCTGAACTTCAGCCATTCTGAACCCTCCCCCATCCTGTGTGTTTGGGGTGAGGGGCAAAAGGAAAAGAGGCTAGAGAAATTACCTTCTCTAATTCCAACAGATGAAACCTTAATACTTGTATGGCTTGAATCATCTGCAAAGACACAAAAAGAATGAGCACCCCATTCCTAGTTTGCAGAAAATTGGCTGTCACAGCTCTAGCATCTCCAACTCCCCCCTCCCCCCAGTAAATAGAGTTATTTTGATTTATGGCAATAACACTAAAACTTAATAGCAGCGACCGGGTACCATCTAGAGGTTTATATTTCTTAAGGAGAAAAAAAAATAGCTAAAACAACAACAAAGCATCTAAGTGGGGATCATAAACACTCTCCTCCCCCACGGCTCTCTCCCCTTTCTCAGCCCCACTACCCTCACCCCACCCCCAAAGGGCTACAGCCCTTGGACGTTTCCTTGGAAGGTGTGCACAGAAAATAGTCCCCAAACTGTGGCTTTTAGCACTGTAAACTTTCTGATGCCTTCTGCACACCTCTCAGGCAAACTGGTGGTTAGGGGCTCTTGCCCGGTCGCTGCCCTCGTGACGCGACTGTGAGGGCTGGGAAGTCCGCAAAGTTTAAGCACACACGCTGACAGGCCGGAGATAAATCCCCGCGCTGATCAGAGCTGCGCTGCCCGGCTGTCATAAAAAACAAAAGCTCGCGTTTCTCTGCGCTGCTCGCCCGGCCCCTCTCCAGAAAAATTTATTTCCCGGGGATCTTGTCCCGGACCACTTGTCCGTGGACGGAAACCTTTGCAGCCGACCTTCAGCAGCGGGAAGACCCGTCTAGAAACCTCAGGGCTCTCCAAGCAAAGCTGGGGGGACTGGGGGGAGGGGAGCTGGGGGAGGGGAGGAAAGGGTCAGCTCTTACCAAGTTATCCAGTTCTGGATTAGAAGAAAATAGAGGTTTTTCTGCGCGAATCTAAATACAAGTGAGAAGGGGGGGAGGGGGGAGAAAGAAACATTTGAAATCTGGTCGCTTCCCTAGTTTTTTCCCCTCATTACACTGTTGGGGCCAGGATGTAACCTCCTGAAGGGACTCGGTGACACCGAGTTCGTCCCGCGCAGAAACACTTGAACGTGAATCAAATAAGCCGAAAACAAGCTCAGAGCTCAGGGTGACTTCTACCAGCAGCTCCGCTTCTAGAAGAGGCTGCTCAGCGCGCCAAGTCCAAGGCAGCTCCAGCACGTGGTGTTTGTGATTTTATTTTGTAAAGGGAGCTTTTTGCACTAGGTTATGGAGCTTGAGTTGGGATAGATATGGGCGATTTTGAGTCACCCGCAGACACTTATATAGGAGGAAAATCTCAGGGTAGTTGTAACAGGCATGGCTTAGAGTGGACTAGTTGCTAGTTACTCTTGCAAATATGCTGGGTGAGGGGAGGGAGGTCCCTTTTTTCCCTTTACTATTTTAAACATTTATTTTGCTGACCTGTTTGGCGAACACGGCTATATCTTCATTGAATGACTCTGACGAGCAGACGTCCCCGCCCGCCACCCCCGGCTCGCGGGGGGTACAAGTAGCTAATTCACATTTCTCAAAAATCAGTGCTAAGAGAGGGAAGAGGGGGTGTCTGCAAGAAAATACAACAGTCACAAACAACACAATGGTTAGTCCCGAGTCAGGGAGAAAAAGGCGCCCAAGAAAAGCAGCCGGAGGAGCTGGAGGCAGGGACCCCCTCCCTGATTTTGTCATCTACTTTTCCCTCCCCCTACCCCCCACCCAGGTGACTGCTCGCCTCCCCTTCCTCCTAGGGCCCCGAAGTTGGAGGCCCTAAGCCACCGACCGTATCTGAGGATCAGTTCAGCTTATCTGGCCGGAGAAATTGGTAACATTTGCTGAGAATAAAACCCAAGCAGTTCCAGCAGCCATTTTGAATTAAGTTTCCCACCCGACCAGCCCTCGTCCCTCTGCTGCACATCCAGGACCTGGAGGAGGAGAAGCGGCTGGGCGTAGGGGCTGGGAGAGCGCATTCAAGTGGGCTCCTTCAAGGCAGCCTCGCGAAGCCCAGGCCGGAGATCTCGGTGGCAGGCGCTCAGCTAACTTGGGGAAAGGACCTCTAAGGCTGCGGGACGGGCTGTCAGGGGGCTGCACCTACCGATCCCACGCCATGGCCCTCAAAGAGCAAGGAGGCGCCTCCTTGGCTCCCTGCACATTGTTCCTCCCTTCGCGGATGACCCTCACCACCCCCAAAAGAAAGTTCCTTCCAATGGTCCTGCGGGAAAGCCTGAAAGCCTTTCATTTTGTCTCTGCAGAATGGCAAGGCAGCTAGTACTGCGAGGGGCCTAGATGTCGCTTATCTCAGCCCAAAACAGAAGGGGGAAAAAGCTTCTTCTAATGCCCAAGGAGGTGTCTCAAGTCTTTTATTAGCTCTCACAGCCCAGCTGGGAATTTAACAGTTCGGGGTCCTTTTCAAAGCTTCCCCAAATGTTCTGTCCCAGAGCCTAAACCATTTGCAGTTAAAGCTGCGGAGAGAACGCTGGGATTTAAACAAGCCCATCGCACAAGGACCAGAAAAATAAAGCAGAAAGGGTGTGCAACGGGGGAGGGTCAGTGTTGCATGATTTTTTCAAAAGAAGAAATAAAAGTTGCTACAAAGTTAAAAGAGGCCCCCAAATTCATCAGCACATAGTAGGCACAAGGGACTTTCAAAGGATTTTACCAGTCCAGTGTCTGGTGGAATGGCCGGCAGAAGACGGTGTGAACCGCAGACAGAAAACAACACGGCCCATAGCACCCTGCATCTACTTCTAAATCCTGCAGGTTTCGCCTTTGATCACAAAATTCTAAAACGACCAGAAGTTTCTTAATGTCTGTTACAATTCAGATCGAGCTCCTCTCCTTCATTACAGTGGTCAAACTTTCTAAATGCAAAGCTGGTTCCCCCTGCCTGACCTGCAACTGTTCTGCCTTGATTTTATTGTGCGGTGGCAGAGCCAGCATACGGTTGCTGAGTAAATTTAGCAAGTCAGAACAATCAGTGGCTTAAAAGATTTTCCCTTAAACTAAAAGTTTCGTTCCAACACAAAGGCGCCTACAGTTAGAAACCCCCAACGCTTTCCCAGAGCAGTGCAGCGAGCCAGGACACCAACCCGCTGAGAGAGCAAGAGGGACCTGGGGCAACTTCTCCTGCACCACGACCCTTTCACCGGCTCGGCCTCGGCATTGCCGGACCCTGGGCAGATGCGAAGCGTGCATGGAGAGGGGGGCGTCGGGGATGGCAGGCAGCCTCCCCCCAATTCTCCATGCAATGCGAATGACAAGCCACCAAGTAATGTATCCCTAGTCCAGAGAGCTCTGGCTTTCCCTTTACCAAGGGCAAAGGGAAACAGGGAAAGCACCGCGCCTCAGCTATTTAACCTGCTGCCCATTGTACCTACCCATAAATGGCATCTTTATCTCTCTTTAAAGCGTCGTTGACGGAGGAACCCATGCTGGGGGCCATGGCGTTGGTGTGAGCTGTGTGCGGGTACTGATGCGAGTGCAGAGGAGGCCCGTGGTTCAGGTGGTGGACCGGCTGCATGGATCTGGCCGCATGCGGGTCCCCATACATCGTGGAGGGGATGCCTACTCCATCCATGCCCCCGTAATGGGGTAGATCGTCGTACTGCATGACAAACGAGAGAAACAAGGTTCAGAAGGCCAGGCGGGCAAATGGGGGACCGGCAGGACACGGATCTTATATAATGTCAGTCCAGCTGGATCCTTTAACCTCCAATTCGGTGGCCTTGCATCTCTAAAGTTGAGTTGTTTTTATTAAAAAATAATTTTTAAAGTAAAAATTCTAGGATTCTCGGTGAGACCCGCCTAGGATGAATGATCTTGCCCTAACTTGTATCCCTATCAACTAGTTCAGAAATTCAGAACCCTTTAGTAAGAAAGGAAGGAAAGAAAGGGAGGCATTCTCCCGGAGGGTGGAAGGTAAAACGTGCATGTCTCTATAGGAGGAAATTCAAAATCACAATAAAACATGCCAGGACAGTGCAGAAAACCCGCCTAGTTTCACAGCCCCTTCTCATCTGGAGGAATTAAAAAAAAAAAAAAAAAAAAGTTACGATGGGAACAGCTACTCCAAGCACGTGAATTTAGACAGGCTTCTTATTTTATTTCTCTGCCAGCAAGAGGTTAGGCAGTCTTGCAAGACACTGCATTTCCTTTGCTTTCCAAGACAAACTCTGCTAAATTATACAAAACTAACTGGCCCCCTATTAAGTGAAACTCAGAGGAGGATAGCTTTTCTTGTACCTTACTGCTGAATTTAGAAGTGGGCAATTTCCACACCCCAATGGTAAAGAAAATCTGTAGTTGGAACAGTTAGTTATTCTATTTTCTCTACTCTTAAGAACTTTCTCCCCAGACTGGAAGTCAATGAGGCAAATGTTACTCATCAGGCTTAAAGCAAATTCAATAACAAATGCACATACAATCTCCTATCTTCCTCCTCTAGAAAAACTACTTTCATATTGATTGTCATTATTTTTGTGTGCAAACTTTAGCTATTTAGATTTTTCTCATTGGTTCATTCCAGGCAAGTTTTTTTCCCCTCAAGATTTGAAGGCGTTGAGAGTGAAATGATTTTCAAAGAAAAGAGGAATTGCCACTTTCATCTCCTTAGAGCCTGAGGTGTGAAAAGAGTTTGGAAGAACGCTGACATTTGCCTGAACCAAAGGAGAAAAAAAAAAAAAAAAAAATGTGTCAGCCTAGTAACTTTCTTTTGCAAACAGGGCTTTGAGGGCCAGGACACAAATTATGCAAGGAAGGCTTTTGGTAGACCCCCCTTTCTTTTAAGAAAGTATCTCAGTCGGGTTGTCATTGTCTCACTTTACTCTCACTACATTTCCATTCAAATAGGAATATTGGGGAAATTAGTATTGCATTTTAAAAGTGAGTAGCTAGTAGCTGTGTGCTTAGTATCCAATTAGTGCAGGGCTTGTCTAAGATGAACTTTCTAAGTATTACCTTGCACAAAAATCCAAGCACATTAAAATTACTTTTAAAAGATGAATGTTTTCTGACCCCAAGAAAACACTGTACTATGACAGAGTTATTGCCTTTAAAACACTAAATACTTCTAATGATATTAAAGATGAACATAATCAATAACATAGCAGAAGTTTCTAGCAGTTCATTTTAGTTTAAAAATAGCTCTAAACTTTTGCTCTCTGAACACTCACATTATAGCAGTAGGTATCTAGCCTTTTTTGTTGTTGTTATTTATTTTTTAAACAGATGATTGTCCCAGCTTGTATTTTTATTTATATAGCTGCTGGTTAGGATTCTACAGAAAAACATGTAACATACATAAGCCCACAAACGCATTGAATAAATACTCTTGCTTTAGGCCACGGCTTTAGGAGCCTCATTCAAAAAGACATAGAAAAAAAAGGAAACTTTTTAGCAGTGTCTTTCAGCCATGTTTCAATTTAATCTCACATTTGAGTTCCACAATTGTTTTTTAAAATACGTACCCTTTGCGCCATCGGCCTCCCTGGCTCCCTTCCTACTTCAACTTCTAATATATCCTCTTTAAGGCCAGTGTGAAAGGAAACAAATACGCAAACTCTCCCGGAAAAAAATTTTAAAAAGCAGGACGAAAAATCCCTTAACGTCTCCAGCAACGTGAGCTACTAGTCCCAGATCTTCGGTCTACGGGACCTGAAGCAAAGCGCCGGAGTCTCTGAGCATAAAAGCGCTCCGTTTCCAAGACAGCAGCGGGGGCAAAAAAAAAAAAAAAAAAAAAAAAGAAAAGAAAAAAGAAAAAAAAAAAAAAAAGGCAGATCTTCTCTCCCCAAAAAATCAGTTTGAAGGAAAAAAAAAAAAAAAAGAAAAGAAAAAGAAAAAAAAAAAAGCGCCCCTCAGACCCAACTACCAAATCTCATGGCTTTCTGCCACTCCGGCTGTCAATCACAGGCGAGGTTGTCAACGTGGTGAATGAATGATCATCCGCTCTGTCTTCTTCTGGTCAGAACACCTCAAATGTTAATATTCAAATGCACAAAGCCCTAGCGCTCGCTTCCCTTGAATCAGTCCTAATTCCTAATCAGTTTCTCTCTTCTCTCGCTCGCTCGCTTTCTCTTTCTCTCTCTCTCTCCCTCTTTGCAACTGCTGCACTGGAGGGAGATTAGAGGAGGAGGGTTAAAAAAAATGTCTGTCTGAGTTTGTCTTAAAGGAGCCACAATCGATGCTGCCCTCTTGCAGTCCCCGTGCGTGTGTAAAGTGTGTGTTGCACAGGCGGAGAGGTGGATTCCGACCAGAATGCTAGAACCCGGAAGTAGTGGTGGCCATAACAGGTCGCGTCTTACACAATGCATTGGGCTGCAGCAAGTAGGCTCCTCGGCAGGGGTGGGTGCGCGAAGCGAGCTCTGGCCGCACTGGAGAGGCAGAGAGGCGCTCCATTAAATCGCACGCCCAGACACAAACACCCACACACCCAGGGCACACGCGCACAAACACGACCGGCAGATCTCGGCTGCCAGCTTTATTTTCCGTATTCTTTCCTCTCCCTCCCCCTCCAGACTCTCTCCCCAAAGCCGACGCTTGAAATAAATTGGGAATAAATGCGGGGCAGGCAGCAGCGGGAGTTATTTTGCACAGGGCTCCGCGCATAGACTTCATGACTTTCCTCGAAATTATTGGGGTCTGCCAGTATTTTTCAGGGCGGAAGGGGGTGATGCGCAAAGTACTGGATTCTCCGAACTAAAGACTCCAAGTCGAAAAGTCAAAAGGGGAGCGGGGAGGAGGAGCAGGCGCAAGGCTGGGAAAGGCTCTGCTAAGGAGTCCGGAGAACGGAGGGTGGAGATAGCTGGGGCTTTCTGCAGATCCAGCTTAGAGTTTTGTGCTGTCAGAGGTAGACACCCGGTCCAAGAAGAGGAAATGCTTGCATTTTCTCACTTTGGGGGTCTGGACACCCCCACCTCCTAGCCCCAGAGACCCCCAGCCCCGCCGTCCTGAGCGAAGTGAGAGAGGAAGGGAGGGAACAATGAGCTGAGAACCTGGAATGTGCCCCCAGCGCCTGTTTACAAACACGAAGCTATTTACGATCGCCGGAAAGCGAAACCCGACGCGGGCTCGGAGCAGCCTGGACCTTGCGGGCGGAGCCGGGGCCGAGGCGCCGCGGGGAGGCTCTTTCTCCGATCCTCTCGGGACGAAGCGGCTGTGCGCCCAGGGCGCGGCGCGGCAGGGCCGGCGCGTTGGGCTTGGGCTACAGCCGCGCCGCCTTTGTCTTCGAGGCGCCGAAGGGCTCCGGCCGCTACGGTGCTCGGGCCTGAAGGAACCCAGCGCCCTCAGCTTTTTCCTGGCGACGCCCCGCGCTCTCTTCCCCAGCTCCTCCCCCCTCCAGCCCCCCACTCCGCTTTCCAGTCCCCCACCTGGCTCAGAGAAAACTCCCAGTGCCAAAGACATTCACATCAGAAGCTGAGGTATCAGACAAAAAGCTGCCCCTACCCATAACTCGGAGGCTCCATCCAGCCACTGATTTTTACTTTTCTCCCTTTAAATACCTATTCTCTGGCTTAAACAAAAAATTCCTTTTCTTTATTCTCCCACTCTAAGTTTGCCCTTTATTATGTTTGGTGGGGTTATTTTCGTTTTTATTTTTCAGCTCGCCCGACTCTGATTTGCCGAAATGGCTCAGCCTCAGCAGCTCGACCAGCGGGCTGGAAGGAAGCCTCACATTTTCAAGCAGGGCTCGCAGCTCGCTCGGCTCGGAGCAAGATCTTTCCCCCTCCCTCCAGCTGAAACCTCGCAGAAAACTCCCCCTGCGGTCGACTGGAAAATGAGCTCACCCAAATCTCGGTAGGCAGCGGTGGAGGAGGGCTCGGCCAATCAGGAGGCGCTCCCGCCAAGAAGGCCCCGCATTGGCTGTGGGGAAAATCAATTATCAAATAATCGATCAGCAGGGAGCTTCGATCTGCTGGGAATGCAAACTGCCAGTCCGGATTCCCGCCCTGATGGTGTCCAAAAGGCTGACTCTCTCAAAGCAGACAGCCCATCGCTCCGATCGCCTCCACCCCACCCCACCCCGCCAGCTGCACACCGAACCCTTACCCTAAAGGGCGGTGTACGTAGGTGGAGGCGTTTTGGAAAGATTAGGGGAGTCCTGTCCGCAGAGATTGTTTTGAAAAGGTTAGGAGTTCTAAAGTGTATTGAGGCCAACTTACACGCACTGTCTAAAAGAGAATTTTCATCAGTCCAAGAGGTTGGGCTCAGGTTTCTGTTAAGGGGGCTCTCGAGGAGCAGGGGACACAGGAAAAGCATCAGAACAGAGATCTGGAATCAGGTTCCACCGAGTGCATGAAGCCCCCCTAAGCGACCTATTGCTTCTTTTAGTACAGTGCACGATTCGGCGCCCAGTTTCCCCCCAGTAGTGGAAAGTGGAGTTCCCATAAAGACCAGCAGCTGAGTCTTCCCTGCCTCCTGCATACCACTCCCGCCTCGGCACTGTACCCGTCCCAGAGCCTCAGAGACGCTTTGCCTTGCAAGAGCTCCGACAGTTTAACCGACCCCCCCCCCCCCCCTTCCAGGATTCATATTCTCTCTCTCGCTCACTCTCGCTCTCTCGCTCTCTCGCTCTCTCGCTCTCTCAGTTTTAGGGTCTTTTACTTTTCTCCATCGCAAACATGTATAGAATTTTCTGGCGCAAACGTCCCGGTACATCACGCAGGAGGTGAAGGCAGGCCCTCGTGTCAAAGCCAAGGGGATCCAGGTGACTTACTAGCGCCTTTATGCTACTGCCTGACCTCCTCCTCCCACCTCCCCCACCCACTGTGAACTTGCAAACAGACTTTCAGGCCAAGATGGAACCTCTCGGTCTCAAGAAGGCGATTTCTCTGTTTATTTCTCGGGAAACTGCGCTGGCTGGGCCAGGGTACGCAGTCCTTTTACGATTACGAACAGACCCAAACTGGGCTGGCAGCCTGCAAGCCCTTTCCCGAACCCCAGCCCAGCAGACTTAGGCCAATACCTGAGCTCCTTCGGAGGGCCGCTCCCGGGGTAGGAGCAGGCCCGCCAGGCACCCGAGCGGCTGGTCGTAGGGGGAACCAGGGGAGGGGGTGTCAAGCCAAACCTCGACAAAGGCACATCTACGTGTATGATCTTTAAATGAAGTGTGAGGAAAATTGTGTAAGTATAATTTAACTCAGAGAAATTTCCTGCGTAATACATTTCGATGACCTTAGACTTTTAACAGCTCTAGGGGTTCTCAGGCAAGCTTGAGAACCAGCGTGGAGTCACCTCAACTCTGCGCCACATTCTCAAATTTGGAAAAGGAGGAAACTGGCCTTTACAAAATAAATTTTATATATGTATATGTACACATATATAATTTATTTTGTATTGTTGCTTTCTGCTAAATATTTTCTTTTGTTTTCTAGCAGCCATGAAAAAGGAAGGTTCAGGTAAGTTACTCCTTTTCAAACAACAAAAAATTCAAAGCTTTAGGAAAACTGTTTTACTCTTTATGATGTGTCAGATTACCTTATATTTAAATGTACTTTAAATGACCTACACACAGATTTTTCTTAAAAAAAAAAAAGTTTGTGTGTGGGCTTAAGGTACACTTTTATTAGTTTTGAAAAGTGTCTTCTTTCTTTCCTCCCTCTCCTCCTCCTTTCCATTTATAACTGTGAACCTAATGCTACTCCTAGACCTTTATAAGATTAATTCTGCACAATCAAGGGACTAAAACACGTTTACAATGTAATTACAGTAGTACAAATTGTTTGCCCAAACCTCATTCTGGATAAGGATTTTACAATTAGCAAACAGTTATTACAGTTGGGGCTTGCTGAGAAATTGCACAGAGGATGTCTAGAGTTGCAATCTAGTAGCCATAAAAAAAAAAAAAACTTTAGCAGGGCAGCAATTAATCACCTATTGAAAGGAAAAGGTAAAGGGATGGTTCTAGGTTTCTTAGTAAACTACTATTCATACTTATACCTGTGCTGTGACAGCACCTATCCTTAGCTTATTTCAAATACTTGCTTTTTAAGGCAATAGCACTTTTACCTTGGGAAAACTTGGCCTAGCGAAGGGTTCTGGCACTTGCCCTGGTTCTTGCACATGGGCCTTCCATACTCAGTTTAGTTTTCACATCCTAGGGTGTCTTCCCAAATATAGAGAAGGAGGACTTTAAAGAGGCAGGCCGGGACATAGGTCTCTATTGTTTACACCCTCTTGCAAGGAGGCGTTGAAAGTAAGTGGTGCCCCTTTAGGCTGTTGGTACATTCCTGACTGTGAACTCCCTTCTCATTTTCTGTTCTGCTGTAAGGAACTGTGCCTTTGGAAAGACCTATATCCTGAATTAGGCTTTTGTCCCAAAAGTTCACACTGATGAGTCAGCTCCCAAACCCTCAGAAATTAAAGAAGCACCTCTTAAGGTAAAATGTGTGTGTATTTGCCATCCCAGAATAAACAAAAGCCTGCTAATCAATCGAGTTTGGCAGCTGTGTTCACAGAATGATAAGGGTTTATCATCTGCCACCTAACTTTTAGATGCCTGTGAAAATGTTGGGATCGCTCTTTCGGTTGTCCTGTCTTTCGGTGGCTTGGGGCTTGTCCTATAAGAACTTTCATCCTCCGCATCTCATCGCCGCCCCCCCCCCCCCGAATTAGCATTTACATTTCAAAAAACAAAAATAAGGAAGAAAAGACAGTTTAAAGAAAATAGATTTTAAATCTAGTAGAGATAATAGAGGAATGCTG